AGATTCATCCTGGAGAGGGTTAAACCAGGCTACTCCTTGGAGTCAAGGATTCTGGGGCTTCATCTGACATACTTTGGACATGTTGTAAGGAGAGATAGGTCCTTGGAGAGGGACATCCTGCTTGGGAGGGTGGAGGGACAGCGCAGGAGGGGAAGACCCTCTATAAGGTGGATTGATTCAGTGACTGGGGTAATTGGGATGGATGTGTCAGGCAATGCAATTGGCACAGGATAGAGCAGGGTTTAGGGCTGTTCTACATAGGGTCGCTATGAGTAGCAAACGACTCGACGGCACATAACAACAACCAACTTTTTCAGTCAGGGATTGATCGAACGTGCAATCAAGATGCATTAATAATGATGGTTGACTGGAATGTAAAAGTTGGGAACAGAGAAGAAGGATCAGTAGTTGGAAAGCATGGACTTGGTGACAGAAGTGAAGCTGGAGATAGGATGATAGGATTTTGCACAATCAACCATTTATTCACTGCGAATATATTTTACAAGAAACATATACACATGGATTTCACCTGATGGTATGCATAAAAATCAGATAGATTACATCTGTAGAAAGAACCACTGGAGAAGCTAAATATTAGCTGTGAAAAGTAGGCCTGGTGCTGATTGTGGAACAGATCACTAACTACTCATATGCAAGTTTAAGCTGTATCTAAGGAAAGTGAAATCAAGCCCACAGGAACCAAAATATGACCTTGAGTCTATCCCACCTGAATTTCAGAACCATCTCAGGAACAGGTTTGAGGCCTTGAACACTAATGAACAAAGACCAGATGAGTTATGGGAAAATATCAAGAATATCATCCAAGAAGAGTGCAAAAAGTCATTGCAAAGATGGAGGAAGAAGAAAAGACCAAAATGTATGTCAGAAGAGACTCTGAATATTGCATTGGAGCGCAGAGAAGCCAAAGCAGAGAAAGAAATCGAGACATTAAGGAGCTAAACAGGACATTTCAAAAGGCTGCGTGACAAGACAAAGTAAAGTATTATAATGAAATGTGCCAAGAGCTGGAGTCAGAAAATCAAAGAGGCCGAACTTGTTCAGCATTTCTTAAGCTCAGGGAACTGAAGAGGAAATTCAAGCCTCAAGTTGCAATACTTAAGGATGCTTTGGGCAGAATATTCATTGATACTGCAAGTATTAAAAGAAGATGGAAAGAGTATACAGAATCATTATACCAAAAGGAATTGGCAGACACAGAAGACTTTAATGAAACAGCATATGAGCAAGAGCCTATGGTGATGAAGGAAGAAGTTCAGACTGCTTTGAAAAAATTGGCTAAGAGTAAGGCCCCAGGACAACTGCCCTAGATGTATTTACCAAACTGTGCCAAGAAATCTGGAGAACAACCACTTGGCCAACTGATTGGAAAAGATCTGTATTTGTTCCCATTCCAAAGAAAGGTGATCCCACAGAGTGTGGAAATTATCGAACAATATCATTAATATCACATGCAAGCCAGATTTTGCTGAAGATTATCCAAAAATGACTGGAACAGCACATCAATAGAGAACTACCAGAAGTACAGGCTGGGTTTAGACGGGGCCATGGTACTAGGATATATCATAGGGTCCCACAATTTTTTTGGTGGAGGGAGGAATGGATAAAGGAAATGGGAAAAGGTCTGATATGAAAAACAATGTATACACACTCTGTAAGTAAACCAGTACAAAATAAAAGTTTTATTTTTAATTAAAAACATAATTGATGGAACCAGGACCCTTTCCCACTACTAAGGCTGTAAAAAATTTATCGCCTTGTAAGTTTTTCTGGCTATAAGTCCTTCCTATGAAAGAGCTCACTGGTCCTTCCTTTGCATGCATCCCTATAAATGGTCCTGAACAAAACAATTCAGGGAGCCCAGCCAGTTTGTAATTTTAACTATCTGGAGTTACTGCTTGCATAGTAAAACTTTGTCTTCCTAAAAAGGTGCCTGTGGTGAGTTACTCCAAAGGTGTCTCTCCAGGATCTCATTTTCCTGCAATGGTAGTTACTGTGTGAATCTTTCATAGACTTCTTCTCTTTCAGTGACATTTCCCAGCATGATGTCTCTCTTCAATGAATGATTCCTTCTGAAAATATGCACCAAATGATGAAGTTTCACCATCCTTGCCTCTAAACAGCATTCTGCTTGCATTTCCTTCAGATTTGTTTGTTCATTTGGTACTCCATAAGATCCTCAGTACTCTTTTCCAACACTGCAATTGAAAAGCATTAATTCTTTTTCTGTCATACTTAATCCTTAGTTGAGAGGTTAGTCTTTTCATCTTCTATCAGTTGCAATGAGGAGAAAAGCCCCTTCCTTTCCTAAGGGAGACAGAGAAGGTACTTTGAGTCCTGCAAGTAAGGCTCTTATCTGTAAGGTCAGGGAAATGCTGCAAACTTGCAAGAATGTAAGTTTTTTTATCAAACTGTGCACAGACTGTCCCCTTATATGAAAGGTGGAGACATGACTGAAACCATGACCCTCTTCCCTCACAAGAACTGTAAAAAAGCTGACATTAGCTTCCCGCCTCTGGTATAAATCAACCAATGAGAAAAAGCCCTTATCTATTTCCCTTTATAAAGTCTAATCCAAAGCAGCTTGGAGCGTGTCAGCCATTTTGGGCACCTGTCCCTGCTTAGCTGGCTTATCAAATAAAAACCCTTCCTCTTAAACTAAGGAGTTTGGGTAATTCCTTTCTCTCCCCTGGGTCTCAATTTCCTGCAACAGCAAAAGACAGTCCTTCTATAGTACCTTCAGGTACTATGACAGGATGTTTAAGTCAGAAACTAGGTGTTAGTTTACTATTACTTTACTGATAGTGGTTAAAACTACCTCTTGGGCAAGAGGCTCTGGTGGAGATTTGAGAAGTAGTCGTGGGAAAGATTATATAAGTCTTTTCAAAAGCAAAAGGGGGGGGAGCACTCTTTTAACTGGACTCTGCAGATTTCATTCATCAAATGATGGCAGTACCTGATGTGCTAAGTGAAATCTATCAATCCATTAAGACATTTACTGTCTGGCTGTGAATTCTTTTCCCGCCTGATTAGACTGCATCGGAATCACAAGTAGAAAAGAATGTAACTCTTTGATTCCAGAAAACAGGTGTCCACAAATAGAGGAAACTGGGATACTAAAGAAAGCCAACAACCAAAGATGTTTTCTAACTCAATAGCACTAACTACTGGAGAAGTGTGGAACAGTGATCCTCTTCCATTGCTTGCTTACCCTCTTGTCTTTGGCAGTGATAATCGCCTCTTTGTTCTCTTCTGACACAAGGACACAGGTACTGTAGGAAGACTGGAGCATATTGATCAGTAGGGAATTGGATAATACGTCCAATTTCTTCACCTCATCTCCTGTCACGTTCACACTTCCTGCAATTCCATACCTAAGGAGAAAAGAGGCAAAGACATTATTACATAGAGATCTAACCCTGGGCACCAACACTCCAACAGTGATCGGGAACAAAGGTAAATAATGCTTCAGAGTTTAAGCACTGTCTGCTATTACGACAAAAACATAGCTGCTGGTTGACTGTACTGACTGTAGTGGTTGACTGTACAGTACTAGCTTACTGTTCTGAGTTGACAAAAATTCATATTGTCAATCAAAATAAAATTGCAGACTATGGAAATAAAACTCCCTGCTGCTTTCCCTGAGCTTGACATATGCTTTCCCCTAAAAAAGTTCCTTTATTTTTTACGTAGAGTTTTAACACATGAAATTAAGGCACCCACATTGAAGAACAAAAAAGATCAGCTAAACTAATGACTGCTTCATTTACATCATAGCCTCTCATCCATCTGTGAAATTAACAAAAAAAAATCCCTTGAAGGAATTTACTTTTGCCTACTTCCTGTGCCTGTCAATACCATGTCCTTGAGATTGACTGTGACCCATATCAAAGCTCACTCTTAACAAAGAAAACCTGCTGAAACTTCATATAAATTTTATGTAACTCTATAGATTGTGATCTGCTTTCTTTACTTTTCTATCTTTTTTTTTTCATTTTTACAAAGTGTGTCAAATAAAACTACCTTTTGCAACTGCAATTTCCCCTACAATACTTTTATGTTTTTGACATCTCCAAATAATAAATACACAGTATATGCAACTGTCACCATGACTACTCTCATTCTCACTTCTTTTACACTTGAGAGTTGTTTCCACACTTCCCTCATCCTCCCAGTCTGTTAATCAGAACTGAGACAGTCTAAGTCCTGCTTTAACATCTAGAGTAACGTGTTTATAATTAGGAGGAATTGTCCTGATCGCCTACATTTTTTTTATGTTTCTATTTTATTAACTGTTCAAAGGAATTGTGTCCATGAAAAATCTACACCTACATCAAGAAGCTGTTGTCTGAACAAAGCAAAGAAACATTGCATGGTTTAAAATCAAGAAAGATGTTTATCAGCACTGTAACCTTTTCCCATACCTGTTCAATCTGTATGGTTTTTTTAAATAATTTTCATGAACATTTACAGATATTTTGGATTTCCATTCATTCATTGTTGCCCTTTTCTCCTTGCCCAACCCTCCCCCCACAGCCCCAGTTCACTCTTCTCTTTGAAAAGTATAAGAAAAATTATTTCTTTGAGATACAATCCTCCTGCACCCTCCCCCCCACCGCCCCAAGTACACTCCACTATGCAACCTTAATTGTGGACTCTTGTGATAACCATAATATCCTACATTTTAAGCGAGACAACATCTGAAATCCACCCCCCCCAATATTTTAAATTGCCCAGGTATTTCAGAAAATTTCCTTCAATATCTCCACTATTCATGATTAGAATTTTTTTAAAAAATAATCTCTTTTAAGATAGAGCTATTTGCATCAATGTCATTTTTATTAAAACCAGAATTCAGAAGGATCCAGAGAATTGCCTTGCTTCCCAAGACTGGAAACCCCACAAATTTAAAAAGGCATTGCAACAAGTAAGAAAGCAATAGGAAACAAGTGTTTTTTAAATTGTTTTTAAAAAGACATTTATTCAGCATCATGATCAGACATTTAACAATCAACAGCACGGGTGCACAAAAAAATTACATTAAAACTTTTGTTTTCTGAATGCTTTACACTTTCCATAAACAGAAAGTAAAATAATCTGTTAAACAATTAGTCACAAATAACAATCCTTGAGGGGATTTTGCCGCTGCACATGAGTATTGTCTAAAACATGTCTTCTCTGTCACAACTAGGCCCTGCCACCACTATACATGGCTCAGTTCACAAATCTGCTTTAATCTATAGCTTCTCTGTCTCTTCTACAGCTCTTTTCTCCTGCTAAGCCTTGTTTCCTGGCAGTTATCAAAACCATCTGCCACTGCCATAGCTCTTGTTGCTGCTGCTTGAACCACTATAGTCACCATAGTTTCATGGTTTGGCAAAAATGACTGGAGCAACATCAGAAGAAACTGCCAGATGTGCAGGCTGGTTTTAGAAGAGGCCATGGTACTAGGGATATTATAGCTAAAGTTAGATGGATCTTGGCAGAAAGCAGAGAGAACCAGAGGAATGTCCAATTGTTCTTCATTGACTACGCAAAGGCTTTTGACTGTGTGGATCACAACAAACTTTGGTTACCTCTGAGAAGAATGGGAATTCCAGAACATTTGATTTTACTTATGCGAAACCTATACTTGGATCAAGAGGCAGAACAGAGCAAGGAAACACTGTATCGCTCAAAATCGGGAAGGGTGTCTGCCAGGGACAGACACCCTTCATCTGTCTCCATACCTTTTTTGTCTCCATACCCTTCAATCTGTATGAAGAACAAATCATCCAGGACACTGGGCTGTACAAGGAGGAATGTGGTATCAGAACTGGAGGAAAATTCATCAACAACCTGCATTATGCAGATGACACAACCCTGCTTGCTGAAACTGAAGAGGACCTGAAGCATTTGCTGCAGAAGGTCAAAGACTGCAGTTTTCAATATGGATTGAAGATTAACATCAAGAAAACAAAGATTCTCACTACTGGGCCAATAGGAAGCATCATTATGGATGGTGAAGAGATTGAGATTGTTAACAGTTTTAATTTACTTGGTTCCACAGTCAACATTCTTGGTACCAGCAGCCAGGAAATCAAGAGAAGAATTGTATTGGGAAAGCCAGCTGTCAGGGACCTCTTCAGAATACTGAAGAGCAATGACATCAGGCTGGAGACTAAGGTGTACCTGATCTGGGCCATAGTCATCACAATTGCATGCTATGCTTCAGAGAGTTGGACAGTGATTAGGAATGATATAAAGAGAATTGATGCCTTTGAGCTGTGGTGCTGGAGAAGAGTGCTGAATATACCATGGACTGCTAGGAGAACAAACAGGTTAGTTCTGGAGAGGGTAAAGATGGGCCTCTCCTTGGAGGTAAGGATTCTGAAGCTTCATCTGACATACTTTGGGCATGTTGCAAGGAGAGACCAGTCCTTGGAGAGGGACATCATGTTTGGGAGGGTGGAGGGACAGAGCAAGAGAGGAAGACCCTCAATGAGATGGATCGATTCAGTGATTTGGGTAATGGGAGTAGGTGTGTCTGAGATGGTGAGATTGGCATAAGATAGAGCAGGGTTTAGGGCTCTTGTACATAGGGTAACTATGAGTTGCACTTGATTCGACAGCACGTAACAACAGCAACAACAATTACCGTAATGGCCAGAGCTTCTGCCTCCAAAGTTTCCTCCTTCATGGGTCCAAAATTTGAAGTTTGTTGTAATTGCTAAAATCATTGTAGCTTCCCCCACTTCCAAAGTTGCTTTCATTACCAAATCCATTAAAACCATCCCCATGGCCTCCGTATCCTCCACCACCACAGCTGCCACCAAAGCCACCTTGTTCACTGAAGTTTTCTCCTTGTCCAAAGTTGTCATTCCCACCAAAACCACCTCCATGAACACCACCAGAGTTTCCTGAACCAATTTGACCGCTTCAGCTGGAAGAGACACTGGCCATCTCTTCCTCTGACAGGGCTTTCCTTACTTCACAGCTGTGGCCATTAACAATCTCGTGTTTCTGAACAATGACTTTATATACATAATTATGATCATCAAAAGTCACAAAAGCACAGCCCCTCTTTTTGCCACTGCCTTGGTCAGCCATGATTTTTCAGTCACTTCAATATTCCCCTACTGCTCAGAATAATTTCCTAAGTGATGTTCTTCAGTATCTTCTTTAATTGCACCAACAAAGATCTTTTTCACAGTTACTTGGAACACCTGCCCTTTGAGAATCTTCTCCTGAAACAGCCCTCTAAGTTCCACCACCATTCCATCCACTTTGTGAGGCCTTGCGTGCATGCTGCATCCACCTCTTCCACAGTTGCATATGTAACAAACCCAAAGCCTCTGGAGTCTTTGGTATTTGGATCTTTACTTACCATGCATGCAGTCTATGTGTGCTCCCTGTTGCTCCAAATGGGGGATTTTCACCCCAGACTTTCACCTGTCATTTCAAAGCTCAACCCTCTGATAAATAGTTTCCCCAGCTGTTTGGGCTCTTTAAGAGACTCTAACTCTGACATGGCAACAGTGGGAATAAACACTTTAGCTATGCCTCCTTGGCAACTTTCTTTGGCAGAAAGGCTTTAATAACATTTTAAAAGGGAGAAGTGTCCTATTAGTGTAGAAGGACAGTTTTGAGGAAAGCCTCCTTTTCAAGTTTAAATCCTTTACTCTTTATTCTGCAACCTACAGCTAAACAGCATAGGAATTTCTAACCTTATATCAAAGTGATCTTTGCAATGAATAAAAAGAAAAAAACCATTTAAAATCATAAGTGAATTCCCTTAGGTTTGCCCTGAATCACAAACTTTCTTTTTTCCCCATTACTTTTCCCTCTACATGAAATGTTGACTTATTTATTTATAATGTAAACAATTATTTACCTTATGTGCTTTTCCCCTTAAGACAGTTCAGATCAGGAAAGCCAGCATTCATCTAAGGCCAACAACACAAGATCTGGCACATACTTTAAAAGAGTAGCCTATGCACCTCAACGTGCTCCTTCTTGACAACCTTTACTCTCTTCTAAGCTTTCAAGGGTTGAGTGACTCTTTTGTGATCTTAAAGGGAGCAGCCATCTTCATCATGCTCCTGTGTGACCTTCTAGAGAGCAGTAAAGAACATATGGTGGAGGTGCCTCACCTCCACCTGGCCATTTTTAAAGTCACACGTATGTGTTTATGAGATTTGTTGAATCATGCATAAGTTTCAGAGTTAAGTTGAATACCATCCAGTTGGAAGTGACTCATAGCTGATCCTTTAGCAGATTTTCAGAGGAAGTAAATTGCATAGGAGGAGATGTCCCATCTTTTTCCTGTGGAGCAACTGGTGGATTCAAATCATGTGGCTTTGGGTTGGCAACACAATTCCTTACTACTAAGTCA